ATGGAGGACGACTGTAACGGTCACTCTAGTAACAACTGAAAAAACCTATCATGCTTCTTTACTCTATAAGACCTGCCTTTTTAGCCAAAATGAAGAAACCTAATTGGTTATTTCGTTCTTTGCTAGGGTGGCCTTCAAAGTCGCCTTGAATTGATCGCTTTAGATATTCAAATACTGATTTTGAATGGATCATTTACTTTTTTTTATTTGTACACAAGACAGTGTTTTCTGATAGTGGGAGTAAAAAAGCACAACAAACAATCTCTTGAAGAATATATTTACATTTATATGAGAAAATGGAATACATTTTAATCAATGATATAAATAGATAAGTATGAGTGACTTCAACTAGTTCAGCTTTTGACTTCAAGCGGACTGATTACACTTTGGGTTACCGAAAACTATCCACCGAATTTATCCCATCAGATCCATCCCTTTTAAGTTGTTTTAATCCTATAAATGTCTTTGAAACGCACCAAGTACTCCTGAGAACTTTTGAAGTGGTTTCAAATTGCTGTTTTTTAAGCTAACAGCAAAGCATAGGACAAACGATACGCTGGTAAGAGGTGGGCTTATAAATGCAAGGAAATTTAGTACATTACTATTCCTTGAATAAATATGCCCAATTACAGATTTCGGTACTGGCTCCATAAACGTCTATCGCCAAAATTACAATCGATATTGAATTCATTCACTAGTTCACACCAGATGCCTCTTTCACATTATGGCTTTTATTACTGTTACTATTAGCAGTGTTCAAATCCAATGATTATTTCTCCCAAAGACATTGTACAGGCAATGAATCTGTTGAACTATTACATGTTGAGAAATCCATTATGTACCACACGTCTTGTTTAGAATAAAGCCATTATTATTACTAAGAATGCTTGTAGAAAGTTTTAATTCATTGTAGATTGCAACCGTTGAATTTCTGTGTTTTTTTCTCATTTGTCCAAAACAAACAAAAATATTGGCTCAAGATAAATGGTAACTATCAGAATGCATGATGTACTTCTACGTTACCAGAGTATAAACTTCGTAAACCAAAACTTTTAAAGCAAATAAAGTTATCCATATACACAATGTTAATAGAAACATGAAATTTTCCCTGCAATGATAGAAAGAACAAACTGCATCTCTATCCAAAAAAAGTTTAATATTTCACCTACTTGAAAAAAATCCAACATCATAATTGTTAAAACAATCAAAGGAATTATATGGAAGAAATTTTAACAGTGATATCTGCATGCAGACAAATCAATAGACAACCTTACAGAAAAGTGCATTAATTCAAGTTGTAACACTTTAAAAAAGCACTTAAAATAAAAATGGATGGAAAAAGAATGACAGTGAATTAAACGAAAGTGTATCATAGGAAAGATACTAAAATGTGTAAAGTTTAATAGAAATTTTCAAAACCTCAAAGACGGTAATCATTGTGTACATCTCGCACCATTATAGTTGATTTAGAGCAATAACCCTACATCGCCCTAGCAACACAATCAATTCACTAAATCAAGTAGCATCACCATGTTGCAGAAGATTTAGATTGTTGTTTCCTCTATTGTTCATAGCAGCCAAACAAAACAAAAGATGAAGCATATAAGCGTTACTTATTGATACATGAAAAGACATTTCTACCTGTATCGAACGCCATTCCCCTCAAGACGATCAAATACATTAAACCTTCATTAAAATTAAATCCTGAAATATTTATCTCAATGTATTTGAAAAGTTTGCCAAACTGTTACCTATATATTGACCAACAGCATGTATTAATGTCACTATTATTTGTCCCTTGGGTTCCTAGTGGAACGTAGGGCTTCAGTAGCACGTCTGCAGTGCACTCTATTCTCTGCAAACTTCCGAACCTGGCTCCACGAGGGCCCAGAAGCTCTCATTTCTTCCTCTCATGATCTCCTCCATGTCAGTCTCGGACGCCCAACTAGTTGTTTCCTACCTGAGTTCCACTCGAGGGCCTGGCGCGTGATGTCCCCAATCAGCCTTCTCAATGTATGTCCAATTCATCTCCACTTCCTTTTGCTTATATGTTGAGTGATAGGTTCTTGGTTGGTTCGTTGCCAGAGTTCCTTGTTGCTTATTCTTTCTGGCCATCTGAGCTTGAGTAACGTGCGTAGACAATTGTTGATGAGTGTCTGTAGTTTCTTGGAAGTGGTTTTCGTGACACGCCAAGTTTCTTAACAATATAGGAGCACTGACTTGATGTTGGTGTTGAAAATCCGGATCTTGTTCTTTATGCTGGGTTGAGTGCAGTAGATCTCCACACTGGTTTCAGGCTAATAAACGCCTGTCTTACTTTTCCGATCCTGTATGGAGGTAGAAATCTAGTAAAAAAAAACAGACAAAGCTTTGAATCAACTACTACAGCTATCATAACAAGGTACACGATAGTCAGTGACGCCTCTATGCATAGATATAGTGCTAGGATTGTTATACTGTTGAAATCTATGCCTAAAACTCATTGTTTCAAGCCATATTCTTGTTGACACCTGTTTTGTGCATCATTTCCTAATAAAATTTGACCTAAAGACAGTGGAATGCAAGACTTGGATTTCGTCCTACTTGGGGCTCGTCAGCCTGGTGTAACTGCACCCAAGTGAGTGATGTTGTTCCGACGGAGACTCAAATCCAGTACCTATCGCTCCGAATGCCAAAGTGTTATGCACCAGGTCAAGAAAGCCAACACTTGTACAACAAGTATCAACTGTTGTTTATTGATAACTGTGATATCCCGTTACCATAATGGGTTGAATTATTTGACCTCTAACCTGTTTTGAACAAGTGATAAGCACTAAACGTAATTTCAGTAAGTCCTGTGAACAACCTCTATTTTTTTAGTTTCTCAGGTAACCACTCTCTAATAAGACAATCAGTGAGAAAGATATAGGGGTAAAGTTAATCTAAAAAAGGTTGTAGTCGATTTTCAATAGCCTGGATATATCCTGAATATTAAAAAAACTCTTTCGAAAACTAACTTTCAGACAATATAGAGCTTAAATTAGCCAAATCGTCGTTTGACACTTGTAATTTATCGCTGCTATCAAGGGCCGAATCTCTTTTGCCTCCGTTGGCAGATGAGCTGTTATGCAGATACCTTGACATTGCCAGATATTCACGATGTTATGTTCGTCTTGGTGAACAGTAATGGAACCCATGATATGCGTTTCGTCCTACTTGACTATCGTTACCTAATGGATAACCCTTGGGCATTTAAAGTGGTGGGTGCTTGGCGTGAGCATCGGTAGGAAGACCATTGTTCACTGGGGTACAGGTGCATTCAGTTAATGAGTCCCAAATAAAACTAAACGCGCGTACTGCATTCCACTACCAGTCACCAAGGTGAATATGTCCAAATAGCCATTTAAAACTACCTGTGGAAACTATATTTCTCATTAAAATCCACTATACATAATATTTCCACAACAGTTTGTTTCAAAATATCACCCGCGTATACTGAATATCTAACCAAAATATGTGCCTTTATTGAATACGTTACATTTTGCCAATCAGTTCATGATATATATGAAGATGCAAATTTCCACTGGATTAGCAAATGTATAGGATGAGATTTCCTTTCTTGACTTCGTACTACAACATTTTATCGTAATCTTTATAGCATGCTGAAATGGTGAATTCTTCAGTCGTATACGCATTAAAACAGTCCATTAATAATCATATGTCGAAAAGCAGCGTTTTTTTTCTCTGTTGTGGATTGATCATTGTACAGACTTATTAAGATGGAAGTATGACGTGAAAATTCTTGTAATATTCATACAGTCTTTGAACTTCATTTCGCGTAATTTACTAACAATAATAAATTGGGCTGTTTTCAAGTAATAGATCAAGACTAATTACATTTAATATTTTGTTGATTGGTGACTGAAGTGAAAGGAAAATCTGGTTAGCAGTCGGGTCTCGTAGTTCAGCCGGCAGGACACCGACCCGGGAACCCGGTGGTTACTAGTTGCAAACCTGTCACTGCCCGAATTTTTATTTTGACCCCAATCATCACCCAGTAATAATATTTTGTTGATTTGAACTAACTATTTAGTTCTATGCTTTGGGATGATGTTTAAAATATACGTGATACATACCTTTCATAAGATTGTTATTTAGAATAATTGCGTCTGTTTGAAGATAGCTATGCTTCAAAATCTATATGACTGCTTAAACAGATCAACATTTCATCTCACCACACATGATGGAATATAATTAGTAACCATATGGCATCCAGTATCCAAAACATCCGTATCCGTGTCCGACTTCAGTTTAACTTCAGACAAGATATTTGTTTCAATATGAAGTTACTGACTGAGTGACAAAATCAAAGTAGAACCTCGCATACAGGTGCAATGGCTCAAGTTGCTACACTTCACAGTCGAACACCAAGAATAGATGGAAAGAAGATTAATATCAAGGAAGGTAAAGTAGTGTACGAGAATAAACAGTATAAAGGTAAAAGTTAGCGCAAACATTCAAACTTTAGAAGATGTCAAAGAGTAAATACATCTACGCCACTGTGATCGATTTAAAACAATATCACCAAGAATCCTCAACCACTGGTCTCTTTCGACTTGGCCAGCCCAACTAGGTAGTCTACTTCTCTCCCAGAGGGTTCAATCCAACAGTAAGAGACCTTAACTGACCTCAGTCCTTGGTCTGGATACCCTAAAACCTCTTCCAATCTAATCCAACTTCTTTTGCATGGCACGTCGATGTAGACGGTGGCTCAGGATGCGCCATACATATCCAAGTCATTTCAGCCGATGAAGGTTCACAACCTGATCAATTGACTTGCCTGTCTTACCTATTCACTGGAAAGTGTTGTTTGCCTATCTCCGCGATGGCTTCTTGTATTTCTAAAACGGGGGCCTAGTTTTATTAAAACAAAATGAGTGACTTCTTTAGTAAACTTATCATTTTGTAACTCAGTAAAAGGTTATTGTTTAAATTTTATCCTGCTTATTGTTTACTTTCAGATGTGGCGGATACTTTCCTTATTGTCACCATCCATCATTCAGGCAATTTCGTATCCACTTACTATACTATAATGCTTATATTCTCTTCCCAATCGGGAATATTTCAGAGACTGCGAGTGTTTGGTTCACTTTAGTTTTATCCATAGAACGATATTTAACTATGAGTCAGTTGGGATCAGTCTACCGCAATAAAAGCAATACTCAATCTTCTAATATCTCGTCTAAAATGCAAAATAATGACAAAATACAATATAACGAGGGGACTCTCTGCCAAGAACATAAGGAAAACTTAAATGAAAATAAAGGAATATGCATCCAGGGTGAGGAGGATTTGGAGCAAAGAAGCCGAAAGAAAGAAAAGAGGACTTCAAAATGGTGTCAAGAACTATGTGGTCTGTGTAACGTGTTCAAAATAAACTATCATTCCTGGAATAACTCAGTAAATAAATCAAACAAATTAATAACTTTAAACAGATTATTTCGCTTGCAGCGGTGTAAATCAACAAAACTTTGTGCTTTATGTAGATATATTTTGTCGTATACTTGCAGAAACTGTCATTCAAACTATTCAATATTTTTTATAGCCTTTTTCAGTATACTACTTAATTTACCTCTATTTTTTGTCCAAAAAGTTGTCAGTAAACCAGTTCCTTCAAAAAACCCTATTGAACAAATACACAATGGTGAAACAAGTGAATGGGTGCACACTTCATCAAAACATTCAAATAATTTAACTTCTACCGAGTATCAGAGTATTCAGAGTCAAACACAAGTTTTCACTGCTCTTACAGAATTTGGAAATTCAGAATTTTATAAAATCTTTTCATGGACACGTATTATGCTAATACAAGTATTACCTTTATTAGTTCTATGTTTGATAAATTTTTACCTATTTCGTTTCATAAATGTAGCGAATAGGCGTCGTCAGAAGTACTTATTACCGAAAAGTTCTAATACAAATCTTCACCATTTTGAACTACATAAAATAAGTTTACGCTGTCCGAAAGCAAATAGTGGTTCCAGTGCTAGATGGCAAGCAGCACAGCGTAAATTAACCATTTTGCTAATTGTTATCGTGGGTTTATTTATAGCAGGACAAATTCCTCAAGCATTCGCATATGTTACAATCTTTGAAGCATTCAACAGGCATTTTGGCAATGTATGCAAAAGATGGCGATGTTGTCCACCATATTTAATATACCGTTCAATATCACATATGCTAGGCTTGTTTACATATGCCATTAACTTTTTTGTTTATCTTACACTGAATAAGCATTTCAAACAGCAGTTAAAAGTTTGGTGTTTACTAGTATGCCCTGTGAACAGAAAACAGCACAAGAAACATTTATTAAAACAACGTAAACCATCAAATTATTCTTACAATCATTCGAAATCAGAAGCTTCATTGAACAGTCAGCACAAGCGTAAACCAAAACGTTTTAGTAACCATTATAAATTGAGAAGACGATCATCTATAGGATTTCATGATCCGAAAAATAAAAAATTATCGATTGAAAATACAGATTTTTCATCTGAAGCTGTTTCAGCTCCAGTTAACATATACTCTAGTCCAAAGTTAGTAAGGAAAGTAGGTTTCGAACAGATAAATGAATTGAATTCAACAATAACATCAACAAACTCCGCTTCCTATCCATTTTTTTCTAAAACTGAAATAAATCCAATAATCAAATCACAATATATATCAGAAGCTATTCGATTCAATCATGGAAAAACAACCATTAATGATGATTCATTGGAACATTTAATCATACAGAATTCAAACAATACAGAAAAAACTGTTTACAGTAAAAGTACTGAAATATTCTCAGACCATCAAAAACAATCTAGAACTTCAAGAGCTGATGATCATCATTCAATTATCACATTACAACCAACTAAATGTCATACAGAAATAGGTTTCGGCCTAAATAATTCTTTATTTCTTTACAAAACTTTTCGCGCCTATTATTCACATGATTCTGTTATAAAAAATTGGATATTTGAATTAAATTCTTCAAATCAACATTATAATAATCATTTGAAAAAAACAACACTATCACCAACATGTCAACACCAATCTGTATTCTCAAATCGGTTAATAACTAACAGAAAAAGTTTAGATAATCTTCAGCCACATCAAAAACAATCAGAACATATTGTTTCCAATACAGGACAACAGTGTACCCATTGTATGGATTTAATTATGATACAAAACAATGAAAATGACAATGACCGAAAGGGTTGCATCAACATGAAAATGAATTCAAAAACTTCTACTTATTCCGTAGATAATTCAGATTCTCAAGTTAGCGTTCAGTCATCTTTTCATGTTTACTGTCCTCTAGTATACAGAGAAAGTGATTTTGATGTTATCTCAGTAGATGAGAATGCCGAACTGGATAAACTAAAGAGCCATTCCTCTTTATGAAAAGCAGCTTAAACGACTTGAAAACAAATCAAACTATGTGAAATATTCATTTTAATAGTAATCTGTGATTCTGAGGTAGTCAATAGTGAAAACAGTCTTCACAAAATCATCATCATCTGTGTTCTAATCCAACAGAATAGCATCTGATGTGTCATTGAAAGTTCACCGAAAATGTAATTAGTCTGCAAGACATATACTTATGGCCTTTGAAACTGTGAACTACATATACTAACCACCATTTAAATAACCTCATATTTTTTATACGTACCCAGTCTCTTCTTCTCTTTTCCCACGGATCTGTTTCATTGGAAACTGTTTTCCTAATGATATGCAATATGCTTGTATTATGTACACAAAAAAGTACCCAATGGTAAATCTGTTCACTTCGTATGACTTTTCAAGCCATCCACAGCTTTATACACAATGATGTCAATATTATCTTTATATGTACATAAGAAATTGTTGATAATGAAGCATGTCAGTTATTTCTTCCCTGAAAACAATAATTTTATGCGTAACTTGTTTAAAGGAAACATGTATAAACTGATGATTTCCTTCGTTTAAATTTACCTTACGTAAAGATAATATTACAATGCATCAGTATTTTGATTCATGCTTAAAGACAAGATGACACTTTGTCAAATCACAGTGCGCTTCTAACGAGAAGTAACTAACTGAATATTCGGTTGGACGTTCTTAGCAGTAAGCAGTAGCGTAAACCTCGCCTGCTTAACTAGTTTACTAGTTACTAGCCGGTCCTAAGCCCGGGTAAAGAGGGAAGGTTGGGCATACGGCTAGCAACCCTACCCCGTAAAACAAATCTAACCGCTAAACAAACTTCAAAGCACAAAACAAATATAAAAAATGAAAACAAACTTATTCCCCGCTGGAATCGGAGAGGCGAAATGACGCCAGTTGGTGAAAGCCTTCGGGAAGCCAATTGGCAGATGTCTCTTCTCTCCCTAGATGAAAGCGAAAGTAAACGTGGGGACATGGAATGTCCGTACGATGTTTGAACCCAGTAAGGCAGCCTAGATTGCAAAGGAGATGAGAAGGTATCACATCGAAGTGCTTGGGATTTGCGAAAGCAGATGGAATGGGAGTGGACTCTCCATACTGTCAACTGGAGAATCAATAATCTACTCCGGTCACCCAGACGCCAACCACGAGCACACTGAGGGAGTGGCTATCATGATATCCTCAAGAGCATCGAAGGCTCTTTCTCATGCAGTGGGAACCAATCTCCTCCAGGATCATGACAGCAAGATTCAACTCAAAAGGAAGGAAGGTCACAATCATACAATGTTATGCACCTACAAATAATGCAGATGAAGAGAAAAAGGAGGAATTCTACAGACAACTTCAATCAACACTGGACAAGATCTCAGTTGGCAACATCAAAATTCTAATGGGTGGGGCGACATGAATGCCAAACTGGGAGGGGACATCACAGGAAGAGAACTGACTATGGAACGAGAAGCGCTCGGTGAGGTGATGAATGAGAATGGAGAATCATTTGCAGAATTCTGTGCATTCAACGATTTGGTGATTGGAGTAAGGCACTGTGTTCAAGCACAAGGATATCCACAAAGCGAGCGACATGGATTTCACTAGATGGACACACTAAAATCCAAATCGACGTTATCTCAATCTCAAGAAAATGGAGACACAGTCTACTTAACACAAGGTCAAGAAGAGGAGCAGATGTAGGTTCAGACCACTCACCATCTAGTGCAAGGAACCTTCCAAATCAAGTTAAAAGCCTTCAAGGAAGCTGATGATTGACGGCAGTTCAAGTACAATACTCGGAGACTGAAGGATGAAACTACAAAGGAGATCTTCAAGGCAGCCATCAAGACAAAATGGGAGACATCGAGGGACATCCCTGAAGAAACCTGTGTGGGAGAACACTGGGAGTCTTTGAAAGAGATGTGGAAAGAAACCTGCACAACAGTATTAGGAAGGAAGAAGAAAGAAGACAAGGAATGGATCTCGACGGATACCTGGAAGCTGATAGAGGAGAGGAGGATGGTGAAGCAGAAGATAAACCAGTGCAAGGATGCTCAACGACAAGAGGAACTGAGCACAATGTATAAAACACTGGATAAAGAAGTGAAGAAGAGTGCACGCAAAGACAAAAGACACTTCTACGAAACACTGGCAAGTGAAGCAGAACAGGCTGCAGGTAAGAGAGACCTGACGACATTGTATCCAATAACCAGGTTGCTATCAGGGAAGAGACCAACACAGATGAAACCAATAAAAGATGAAGAGGGAAATTTAATTACAAAAGAAGAGAAACAGAGGAAACGATGGGCCGACCACTTCAAGAAGCTCTTGAATCGACCACCACCTGCACTTCGTCCAGAAATACCACCTGCAGCCGCCAAACTACAAGTGAACATAAATCCCCTAACGAAAATGGAAGTCCTGAACGCCATAAAGCTACTGAAATGTGGGAAAGCAGCAGGACCAGATGGGATCCCTCCAGAAGCACTGAGAACAGAGGCAGAGACAACAGCGGACATGCTCACACCACTATTGCAGAAGGTGTGGAAGGAAGAGAAGGTAGCTGGCCATTGATTGGAAGAAGGGTTACCTTGTCAAACTGCCGAAGAAAGGAGACCTCAGTGCTTGCAAGAACTGGCGCGGAATCACTCTCCTGTCCACCCACAGCAAGTAAAATATTAAGCCGCATCATCCTAGAGAGGCTTAAAGACGCACTGGATTCAAAACTGCGACCGGAACAGGCAGGCTTCAGGAAGTACAAATCATGTGCGGACCAAATTGCAACGCCACACTTCGCATCATCATAGAACAGAGCATAGAATGGCAGTCAACTCTACGCCTCACCTCAACTTCATCGACTTTGAGAAGGCATTTGACAGCGTCGACCGAGAAGTAATTTGGAAACTGCTTCAATACTACGGAGTACCGCAAACCTTTATCCGCCTCATTCAACAACTATATGAAGATGCCACATGCCAAGTAATCCACAATGGGAAGCTCAGTGATGCCTTTGAAGTGAAGACAGGAGTGAAACAAGGTTGCCTACTATCCCCCATGATATTCCTTATTGTGGTGGACTGGATCATGCAGCAAACAGTAGGCAGCGAGAAGAGGGGGATACACTGGACGACGGAAAAGAACCTAGAAGACTTGGATTTCGCCAACGATGACTTGAGCCTAATGTCACATAAACTTGAAGATCTGCAGGCAAAAACTAACAAGTTGATAGAAGAGGCAGCCAAGACGGGACTTCAAGTGAATATAGAGAAGACAGAAGTGATGAAGATACCGCACCACCACCATCAACAACAACAACAAACTCCAATCACCGTCAACGGGAGAAACTTAAAGGAAGTAACCTCCTTCACCTATATAGGCAGCACTGTTTCAACTACAGGCGGGACGGACGAGGACGTCAAAGTCAGAATCGGAAAAGCAAGACAGGCCTTCATTAGCCTGAAACCAGTGTGGAGATCTTCTGCACTCAGCATGCAAAACAAGATACGGATTTTCAACACCAACCCAGTCAAGTCAGTGCTCTTGTATGGTTTAGAGACTTGGCGCGTCACGAAAGGCATTTCCAATAAACTACAGACATTCATCAACAACTGCTTACGCTCGCTACTTGAAGATCAGATGGCCAGAAAGAATAAGCAACAAGGAACTCTGGGAACGAACCAACCAAGAACCTATCACGCAACAAATATGCAGGAAGAAGTGGAGATGGATTGGCCATGCACTGAGAAGGCCGACTGGGGACATCAAGCGTCAGGCCAGTCCCTCGAGTGGAATCCCCAGGGAAAGCGACGAGTTGGACGTCCAAGGGTGACATGGAGGAGGTCGTGCGAGGAGGAAATGAGAGGTTGTGGGCTGTCGTGGGACCACGTTCAAAAGATCTCAGAGAACAGGATGAAATGGAGACGTGCTACTGAAGCCCTATGTTCCACTAGGAACCCAAGGGACTAATAATAATAATAATAGCGTAAATCGGTTGAAACTAATAATTATCAGACGACTGATTTACTTATTCGAAAAAGAAGTTCGTTAGTGTGGAGATTGAACAGCGTATTTGAAATGCTAAATGGGTGAATTACATAAATCTGGATAGTCAATATGAGATCAGTACTCATATTCGAAATTTCAAGTATTTTATGTTACGTTTTTTGGTTAGAAACGCATCACTGAATTTCTGACTAATGATAAGAAGCGTCACCATTCACTAAACAACCTATGAGCAATTTGCAGTACAGCTTTGACGTAAAATGTATTGATTTTTTTCATAATATCGTCCGTTAACATGATGCACCTAGTGAAAATATACCTGTGGAGATCTTGAAGAACAAAGATAGCTATTGACCACCGATATGTCATACATTATGCACACAAAGCAAACCATACAACAGGAGATGTACGTTTTGTAAGTTCTGAGCGGATGGACACTGGTATTTGAAGATCCAATAGAATGACATAGTTTTTTGCAAATTTAATTTTTATACATGGTTAGTCATTTTAAAAAGTGTAGATATCAGTTCAGACGAGATTAGTTTACCATAACATCATTTTGTTCCTAGACAATGCTAATTATCTAGGCCCTAAAAGTTAGGTATATCCTCAAAATAAGAGCAGAAAGGTGGTAGTTTCTTGCTCAGTTAGCACAGAATTTTATAAAATTTATATTTATCAGGACCACCAATACGTCATTTTGGCATTATGTCATCAAAAATCAAAAGAGGAAATCGCAAAATATGATGAGTTTGCGGAGTTTTTCGATAATTAGCAAAGTATTTTATTCTGATGGCTGAGTTGCTGTCAGTTGATTGCTTCGAGTATTAGATTTCATTAAGAAGCCTAAGGGTCACGAAAGCGATTCATTCAAGTTTCACCAGTTAATTTGGCATACATATTTCTAGTAGGTGTTGATAAATGTCATACAACTTCCAGCCGGTCAGTAAATGCTTAAATGGAAGCATTCTGCACTTTACGTAGTGTAGTACTGTTCTTACACCGTGCAGTATATCTCCATAATCTTTGTTGAGTCGTATGGTTCTGACACAGCCTAGAATTTCTTCTTATGTAAAACTGGGGCATTTATCTACTATGCAGAAGAAACAAACCAAGTAGTTCTTTATCAGTCCAGTTTTGGTTACCAATATCTTTTTATTCATAGTACTAAGATATTTAAAGTTTCATGAACTGGTCTTGCTGTTAAACCTCCAGAACTTCTGAGTTTCTCTAAGATGGTCAGGTGGCGTTCTGCATTTTTGTCCGCACGTTTCAAACGCTTCACTGCATTTTTGATATTCCCATAGTTTCGTGTTACAATATTTTTGGTTCAGTGATGGATTGCTACTATTCTATGTTAGAACCTTATCGATCGCTGCTTACGGTATTTAATCTTCCGTGCACGCAAACGCCTCCGAGCATGGTTAGTCTAAAATGTGATGAAGACTATCACTAGCTCCACATTTGTGCATGCAGCTGAAACGAACTATACGGTGGTTACGAATGTCATTTCCCCTAATTTACCTCATTTCCATCAACTTGCCAACAGGCACTCCCCTCTGAATCCTTCAAACTGCGGAAGTGGTCCCAA